TCTTCACATGCCTAACCTAATCTTTGTTCACTCAAAATTCAAAGCGAGCCAACGATGCTCCAAGTTTTCGTACTCCTTTTCCAGTTTTCCTCTTAGGTTTTGTCGTGAATAATTGAAGGTTATGCTACGAAGTCATGTGAAAAAAACTCAAAATTCTAACTTGTCAACGCTTAACATTCAACACAAAACTCTTAAACCCTAAATTCCTTTTTCACATCTTCAAATGGAGTCTGTTTCGTTGTCTGCAATCCAGATGGTTCGTAGCGAGGAGAAGTGTTTTGCAGTTGAGGAGGTGAGGAGGTCTTGATGGATGAGCAGCGCCGGATCGTTGCCTCGTACTATCACATCTATCATTATAAACCATGTGAAAGCCAAATGGTGCCACACACTATATAGCTTGATATAGTCTTCGTGATAATATTTAAATTAATTATTAAATCATAGTACTAAGTGATTTTTCTTGATAATGCTCAACTACTATACTTTTGAACTTCATATCCTCATATCAACTCTATGGTGTAAACTCCAAACACTAGACTCCTAACCTTGAATTCTAAATAAATGCTTAACCTAAATGTCGAGAAAAACTCCCCTTACCAAAATTTAATGTAATAGTTTTAAACTGTCCCCCCTCCCCTTAATGTATACTAGTAAATATTTTAAAAAAACCTATTCAAACTGCATGATGCAATCTAAAGATCATAACTCTACTCTACGACAGGTATTGATTGGTGACATCTTCAAGACTTACTGTTGCTGGAATGATAAGAACGACACTAGAAAATTGAAACCGTGGCGGAGCTCATGCTTTCAGAGGGTTGTGGTTCGAATTTTGTGAAATGAATGTTAGGGATGAGTTTGTGGTGAGGAGTAGGTTTCAATATGGTGGTGGTCTTTGTCGAGTTTCGTCGACGGAGTGCAGGGGAGCTGCCGTGCCAAGGTTACCTTTTAAGACTAATCTAGGATTTACCTAGCCGCTATGTCTTCTTTTGTGACATTGCAATTTTGCTTCACGACTGTACTCCACAGAATCTTCCACCACGCGTAACCTCAATACATGTATTGAATTATAATGAAACCCTTGAACAAATTTTCTAGAAACATGATTATATGCACGATAAACTCACTGAAATATGTATACATATGAAGTACAAAAATAATTTTATTTAAATTAGCATATGTGAGTTCTTACCCTCTAGAATTAGAAGAAAACCCAATAAAAATAGGATAGAAAAACAAAGTAAAAAAGAGTGAAATTTTGAAAACAAAAGACTCAATTTCGTGGATTCCGCTGGAGCGCCGCTAAGGTCTACTCGTGACCCCCAAACGCAGACCAAAACCTGCTTTAGAATTTCTCATCTGCTTGAAAACTGTGCTCCCAAAATTTCATGTGTATATAATTAAGCACGTTAAGACACATCAAATCAAGTTGAAAGAGGCGTAAAGAATATGCCTAAACATCTATGAAGGCGTGCATGCATGGTCTTTAGTCAAACTTTCCAACGCAGATGAATTCTATAATCACAACAATTTAGTATGGAAAGCTACTTCTCCGAGGCCCCTTAAACAACAATTAGGAAAAGAATTATGAAAAAAGTTAGTTTATTCTACATGAATAGCCTGAGTAGAAGTACCAAATCTAACATCTAATGCTTAACTTGTTTACATTGTTCTACTACGCACAAAGGTTTAGGCTAAAAAATGTTAATTACTACAATTAGTATGCTCTAACAAATTCTTAAATGTTTTATTATTATTATTATTATTATTTTGTTTTTTTAATGTTGTTGTTATCATTTTTAAAAGTTTAATCATAACAATGATGCTTACGGTTCTTAGTAGTCAATTATAATACCTATTTAATTTGTAACATAATTAGAAAATTGGACAATAACGATGCCCAAGTACAATTATTGCATCCACTGTCACGTTGGTTACATGGAAATTTGTGATAGCAATATTTGTAAGAAAATTTTCGATGAATTATGTATTCAATAGTAGACTTGATTTGTCAAGTTGTGATCATTTAACTATAAACTAGTGTTAACTTCGTACAAGCATGAAGCATGCACTAATTGGCGAGCTATTAATAAAATGAGAAAATTTGAAGTAATGAGAGAGAAAATACAAAATAAATAACGAAAATAAGAGATCATGTATGATTAATTAACATGAACCCAAAAACAGTAGTCAAGATGACTTAATTAGTAGTTTTGCTTTTACACTTGTATTCAAGTTTGATCTCCCTTGCAATAAATTATGAATTACTTAAAGTATTGCTTAAATGAGTAAATAAGAAAACAAGCATCCAAAACGCTAAGAGTTTGTTTGGAAGGATGTACAGTCGTGGCAAAGGCATCAGCTCGTCCTATTTTATAAAAAAAAAAAAAAAAAAAACTCTCTGAGTTCGTTTGAAAGTGCTTTTAAAATGATGGAAAAAGTTTTTGATAAAATTTTTTTGAAAGCAATCCTCAATAAAAATTCAAATGAATTCTGGAAAAACATTTTAAGTACTTTCTGCAAGAAGCACATATACGGTACTAAAATAAGCACTTACAGTGCTTTTGAAACCCAAAACCAATTGCACCAAAACTACTTTCAATTATTTTGAAATTTTTCCAAATGAGTAATATATGAATGAAGGCACAAGTACTTTCCAGAGTGAGCTTTGTTCGTTGTTTATTTGTTCACTTTCTATATCATACCTATTTTGTTTATATATTCAAATCAAATCTTCTTAATAAGATTAAATTTTTGGATAAATTACATAAAATTACCTCAATTATTGGGTCAGTCACAGTTTCATACCTCATCTTTAAAAAATGTCAATGTCATACCTCATCTTACGAATTTGTTACAATTTCATAGCTTCCATTAGTTTGTATGTCACTTCTTCCATTAAAGTGACGTGGCTTGAGACATGGCCCACTTTCTATTAAAAAATTAATTAAATATTAAAAGCTAAAAATATAAAATCTTTTTTTTTTTTTTTTTGGCATGGGAGACCCACCCCACCCCTTATCCCCCTCACCCTTCTTCCCCATTCCCGTCTTCCCCCAACCCAAAACCAGAACCACCCCAAACCCAGATCCCACCCGCGCCAACATCTCCCCCACCTGAAATCAAATTCTTCCCTACCAATGCTTCCAGGTCACGCTCATCAACACTTCCTAATATCCCTAACCGTAGGAACACCACCTTTCCCCCTAAACGCCCAACCGGGTTCACCCGATTCGAACTTTCTTGACTCGGTATCAAACCTAACCTGCCTTCTGAACACTCCCGCGCCCCTCCCATTGCCGTCCGTTTGCAAAGCTGTGATGACCGACTTAATCGCCCTACTCAACAAGTTCCGGTTCACGATCATCAACTCACCGATCTTCACCAGACTCAAACTCGACCTGCTTAGGAAAATCTCCTTCACCTGTGGGAAAAGCTTGTGCTCCTTCACCCCAAGATAACTCGTCGCCAGATTTTTGAATGCTCCAAAATCATAGAGTGGAAAGTGGATGTGGACGTCGATCCGACCCGGTCGAAGAAAGGCCGGGTTAAAGAGGTATTTCGAATTCATGGTGAACACCATGACTCTCTCCTCGGCACAACACGAATTCAACAGCTTGTCCATGAAATTATATATATCCGAAAAGCTCAAACCCGCGGGTTTCTTAGTGATATATTGGTTGAACGACGACAAGGACGACCTAGAAGCATTGGGGAACGAGGTGGAGACGCATATGAAAGATGTGATTCAGGTGGGGGAGATGTTGGCACGGGTGGAATCTGGGTTGGGGGTGGTTCTGATTTTGGGTTGGGGGAAGACAGGAGTGGGGGAAGAAGGGTGAGGGGGATAAGGGGTGGGTATCCCATGCCCAAAAAAAAAAAAATGATTTCATTCTTATAGTTTTTAATATTTAATTAATTTCTTACTAGAGTGGGTTCTATCTCAAACCACATCACTATTTAACGGAAGAAGTGACAGACAAACTGACGAAATGTATGAAATTGTAACAAATTCGTGAGATGAGGTATAACATTGACATTTTCTAAAAGTGGATATAAAATTGTAACTGACCCAATAGTTAAAACAATTTTATGTAATTTAACTTAAATTTTTTGTTGGCAGAAGCATCCAAAGTAGCAATAGGCTTTGTTCGTTGTTAATTTGTTCACTTTCTATGTCGTACCTATTTTGTTTATTTATTCAAATTAAATCTTCTTAATAAGATTCAATTTTTTGTTGGCAGAACCATCCAATCTAGCAACAGTGTTTTTCCTTTGTAGCAGATCTCTTTCAATTATACTCGTCCTCTGAATAAGTCAAATATAAACAGTATTGCAAATGGATTCTCCCTAGCAATAATATTTTTTTGGATTATGAGCACTTCCATTGCATAACCAGCGAATTTATAACATCTAGCGAATTATGACCAGTTTTGAGAATGGTGACATATTAACTATGTGCGTATTTGTTATTATGTTACTCAAATTAGAAAACATATAATTGCTTATTATTAATATATCTTATAAACGTAACTATTAATTTTATAGTTTACCTTATAATTATAAATAATCTTTTCATTCTCTTTTAATTGATAAAAAAATTTCTACCAAATTGTAATTTAGATAATACGTAAAACAATAGCACAAATGTTGCTTGCTGTCAGTGTAGAAATTTTTTGAGTTTCAAAAGACAGCAAATTTGTAACCTTATATCAAAACGTAGAGTTAAGGTAATAGTACTATTTGAAAAGAAGAATATAACTGAAAAGATGAAGAAAAAAATGAACAGAAAGCATCATATGGCCCCGGCCCCATGGGATGTCTTCTCATCACTGGGCCCATAATGTGATTTCAATCTTTCCTCCCCTCTTTGATTTTTCTCTCCCTATTCCTTTCACCTCCTACCCTTCATTCTTCGTTCCTTTATTTAGCAACACAGAAAAAAAAAAAAAAAAAAGTTGATCTGGAATGTTCATTAATTGATCTTTCATCACAACTCTATGTCTGATTCTATGTCTAGAGAAAGAGGAAAAGATTTCGTCGAAGGATCGTCTGCTGGAGGGTCTCCGAATGATGATCAGCAGCAGCCGGCCACACCAAGCCGCTATGAGTCCCAGAAGAGAAGGGACTGGAACACTTTTGGTCAGTACTTGAAGAACCAGAGGCCTCCAGTGGCGCTGTCTCAGTGCAATTACAACCATGTGCTGGAGTTTCTTAGGTATCTGGACCAGTTTGGGAAGACCAAAGTTCATCTCCAGGGCTGCATGTTTTATGGGCAGCCTGAGCCTCCTGCCCCTTGCACATGTCCACTTAGGCAAGCCTGGGGCAGCCTGGATGCTCTCATAGGGAGGCTGAGGGCGGCCTACGAAGAAAATGGAGGATCCCCGGAGAACAACCCTTTCGCTAGCGGTGCAATCAGGGTTTACCTGAGGGAGGTCAGGGAGTGCCAAGCTAAGGCAAGAGGGATTCCTTATAAGAAGAAGAAGAAGAAGCCAAGTCCAAGTAAGGGATCCGGAGGAAATGATGATGAATCAAGTTCTACCATGCATTTCTCTTGATGCATGTTTTCTTCCTTCGGCCAATTTCAGAATTAATCGAAGGGTAAGTGGTAGATGAAGAAAAATTATGTTCATTTCTATTCATGGTTAATTAAGTACGTCCACATCATAAAAATTAACTCCAATTAAATGAAGAAAAACTCAATTAGTTACTCAATTTGTCAATGTAGGTGATATACCCCCAAAGATTATAGTTGTTGCTGTTTTTGTTTTTGGTCGAATTAATCCCCCAAAAATTATAGTTAAAAAGATAGAGAAGAAGGTAAACTTATGAGGTCGAGAGCAGTCAAAGGACAGTAAATTAGTTTTATATGGAATACACGAAGAACAAAATTAAAACCCTAAATGGTATACTCAAATTAGTATTTGAGTGATGATGTTCTGATCGGGATCAGTAACTTTAACCAATAATCTCTCCATCTCTAAAACTTATTAGACACTAAATATCGTGTTGTAATAAAAAACAATAATCTCCTCTCCAACTTCTCCCCCTCTCCCTAGGTCCTCTTCTCTCTCTCTCTGTGAAACACACTCGCGATGTAATCCCCATTCCCCACTTCCATTGTCCTACGTTAATTAAAAATTGCTCTCTATTTCTAACTTTTCATTAATTTGGCTCTTTTAGGATTCTGCAGATTTTTTGTGCCCCCACGATTATTTGTCAAGTGAGATATATCATCACAAACTTTCGTACGTCAGGATATATAATTAAAAAATATAGACAAATGATTGAAATATATGATTAATTAAAGTTTAAGGTTTTAACAAATCTCCTTAATTCGTATTTTATTAGTTTTTGACGTTCATCCATCTTTTCTGCAGCTTTTCTCGTTTGCAATTATATATCTTTTGGTTTTAATTTAACGAAGGTCATCATAGCGAATCTATAAACACCCAAGATGATCAATGCCACCACAAATTGCTCTTCTTTTATATGTGCAGCTAGCAGATATATATAATGTCAGTTAAATACAACTAATTGCTCATTTGCTCTTGTTTTATATGCCCATTATTTTTCCTTGATGTCCACAGTACAAAATTCTGTTGCGCAGCATTTCATCATGATCACAGGCTTATTACACACACACACACACAGACACACACACACACAGAGTCTGATAAAGAAAAATAAAGAACAAAGAGATTAAAAAAAGTCTGATTATGTGCTCAAAGGATTGTTATCTCACGTCTTTGTCGGGTTTTCATGGGGAACTTCATATTTTTTTATGCATTAGGTTGATAGGCCAGAGTTAAATAGATCTTTCACTCACTTGTGTGAATTGCCATCTATAGAAAATCGTAATTCTATTTGCACGTGTTTGGTCTCAAGACATATTTCCAACTTATACAGACGATGCTATCCACAAATCTATTTTTACCTTTTATTCATTCTTTGTTAATTTTTGTTCTTCCTCTTCAATATATTCATTCATTCATACAAATATTTGCATTCACTCCCTCTTCTCTTTTATTCATTTGAATATTCATCCAAACTCAAGCTTTGCGGAAATTCGAACATGTATTCTTCCCTTATTTCGATGGAGCACCGAACCTTTTCAAATCTACCATCTTCTGAACTAGCATCTGTTAATAAATAAGACAGAAAACAAAGTAAATTGTAAGAACAAACCACCACAAAGCCTGATGCAATCAATTACCGCAATTTAATAAAAGAAGACTCTAATCTGAACCTGAAGGTGCGATTTCAAAACCCTGCGATGGGATGGTAGCTGACAGGTCAAAGGTTAATTGCTCTTCTGAAAAATTCGAATTTCACCATAAATATCATGCAAAACTCGAGTGAAATTTGCATTAGTAAATTAGAAACATTTATATTAGTCTATGCATACCGTACGTAAAGTTCGTATATCAAGAAAAATTATCTTTTAATGACTGGAAACCTGTGCAAAATGCATTGTAAACGATAGGTTTAATATCAATTAATGATGCATCAACAATATACGTGACGATTTTTAACATAAATAAATTATGTGTTGCGAGTATTGCATATAAATTAATGATGATCTTTAATCATTTTATCCGTTGTCAATTGATTTTGAGTTGATGTTAAAAAAATTCTAACATTAGGTCCTTAACCGAACTCATTTGTGTAAGATCTTTAGTATTGCATATACAACTTTTAATAGTTCCTCAATTTTTCAATGACTATATATGAATGCAGCTAGTTTTTGTCAACATATTTGGATTGAACTATAACACATGCTGTAAATTCATGATCCTTCGAGCTTAAAAAATCTGCCTCTCTTTTCTATATGGCTCTGGAGATGAGCACAGAACACAGACATTAGCATATTTTTGTAGGTTTTATTTATGCGCTCGTAGACAAATAAACACACCTTGATATTCTAAAACTAAATAGATACTTTAGCTGACACTTGAAGGTTTATGTTTCAACCATTAGATCATATTTAGATGATAATATGCGCATCCTCAACCATTTATCGTTAATCTAATTACAGTGGCACATTGAGTCCTCAAATTTGTGTCCCTATTGTTGAGAATACCAAAAAATTAAAAATTAAAATATTAAAACACACACACCCACACATAAGATAATGCATCTTCTTCAACTCTATTATTACAAGAGTGTGTCAGTTTTATGTGTTTAAATGAAATTATAGTCATACATGTGTGCACGCGCACACGTGTGTGCCCACACACACACACACACAGATATATATATATATATATATATATATATATCATAACTCATGCTCTATATATGTTTACACCAAGGACACACACACACACACATATCGCAACTCATGCTTTATATATGTTTACACCAAGGAGTGAAAGAAATAAACTAGTATTGAACTCGTTCACTAGATTCGAATCTAAGACCTCACATTTACAAGAATAGAGGAATACCAACACTATACCATAGTTTTAAGTGGCTACAGATTATCATAGTTATAGTTGACAGTTCAATAACATGTTAGAATGTCTAAAGAAAGCAGATTATCATACAAGCAAGACACATTTAACCAATCACACCCAGTAGTTTAAAATTGATATCAAGTGATTGCTAAATACTGAATATTTACAAGTAACACACATTTAAACAATCAAACACTATACTTGATGTTTACTGGTTACTCATACACACTGCAGTTCATGCTAACTCCAAAATTCTTGCTTTGTGGTTGTATTTTTGTTGTTAGGGACTTATATCCGATCGATAGATACATTCCTGCACACTGAAATGCAACGAATAACAGATACCCTTAATGTTTAATCATCAAACTCAAAATTTACTTCCTTGCAGGATCACATGGAAATTGAACGAAAAGGAAGGAATTGTTCCAAGTGAATTTGCCAGCATGGTTCAGTACTGTTAAGTTCGATTATGGCTTTTTTCAGTCAAATTACATAAGGAAGTTGGAGAATTTTGGTTAATTTGTAATTGGAGAATTTATTAGTAGCGATGTCTTATGGCTTGCTGGCATGAACACGATTCGATCTTAATTCATTTTGTTAGTTTGTAATTGGAGAATTTGAAAGCATGTAGTAGATATCAGAAACCCTTTATGCTTGAATATATATATATATTTGTATCCTACTCGTTGTGTCCATACTTGTTCATAATATCAGGACTATAATGATGTTATGTGTTTCCTACATATACACTTACATATGTAGGGTTGTTCGGCCGAAGCGTACATTTCTTAAGCTTCTACATTCTAGACCGACAAGGATACAACAGAGATAAGGGGATGAGATTTCGGATGACTCAACGAAATTCAACAAAGATTCGGTTTCGAACCACTGAACGGAAGTGAATATGAAGAGGGATTCCGGTCCATTCATGGGAATCTGACAAAGACAAGGTTCTAGACCACTCAACAAAATCGAAAGAAACAAGATTCTGACCACTCAACATAATCTGAACAAAACACGATTTTGGACAACTCAACGGAATCGCACATGAAGCGGGATTTCAGACCACTCAATGAAATCTAGACGAAGTAGGGAACCAAACCACTCAATGAAACTCCAACGGAACACAATTCTGGGCCATCAATGGAACTGAGTAGAATTCATGGCTCAACGAAACAAGACATGACACAAGCTCAATGTGACAACTCCCTATGGCAATGGGATAACGATCATCTACTAGCCCTCACGTTTCACAAACATATCAAATATGCATTTCAAATCACATTTGATAAAATAGAGCAATGACAGAATTTAAATATAACAATTTACCAGAAAACACAGTCATAGAATCATGCCATATTCACCAAAAACCAATATCACATATATCACAAATATTAAAGTCAAAACCGGGAGTTGGCTAACGCACCCTCGAATAATGATCAAGGTGCTCACGTACAATCACTACCCAGAACAAAGATCAAGTCCCGCTCAAAATTTTTGTGATTAAACCATGTAACACTAGGTTGTACACGTCAACTACAACCGCAAGTTTAAATGGTGGCTAACTATAAAAATAGGTTAAAACAATGGAATTACGCTAAATAGAAGCTAAAAATAGATTCAGAGATTGTATTTATCCTAGATAGACAGTTTGGGTCGTCGGCTACTCGCCATCACGCCCCGGTCACGCGCCCTCACATGTTAGGTTGGGACAGATATTCCGTTAAATTTAATAGAATGTTGACGTCATACCTGTTGGCAATAAAAAATATTCTGAATAGTTAACAAAATATTCCTTATTCTTCTTCTTTCCTTCGGTCGCTGGCGCCGAAGCCTGCCGTCGTCGATTTCACCGAAACTAGGGATTTTGCCAGAAAATTGGGAAAAGTTTAAATTGCCATGTTGTTCAATTCATAACCAAATTCTATGATCCTTATGTCAAATTGAAGATAGAGAAGAGGAGAACAAGTTTACACCTATTTGGAGTTCGAGAAGTGATCAAAGATGGCCTGAAATTGGACATAAAACTCGGCCTGCCGGTAACTCGTAGTTTCTCAATTTTTGTCCAGCTTTTTACGAATAAAACCCATGACTGGGTTCGTGGGGATGCGATGAGCACGGTGGTGGTATTTGTTGATCAAAGCTCGCTGGAAAAGTGGTTGGGTGACGATAGTGTGTGCTCGAGCTAAGGGAGAAGATGAGAGAGTTCGAGAAAGACTAGTGAGGCCGAGAGAGAAAAGAGAGAGATCCCTCTAGGAAATGGGAAGGGGCCCCATGGGCACACAAAATAAGTCCAAAAAAAGACAAACAACATGTGTCCAAATAATGGTCAAATTACCAAATTGCCCATGAACTCCAAACTCTAAATTTTGTTCTGCTTGTGCCCATGCGTTTATATTGACCCGTACTATCCAAATATGCCAAGAAATGAGGAAAAGCATGAAAGCATCTAAAATGTCCACATGGAATTTCATTTAGCTCAACATGGCATTTTTTGTCCTTTCAAATTCGAAAAAATTTCTATGCCCAAAACAAAAATACGCCATAACAACTAAGAAATACAAAATTTAAATAGTGAAATCTGGGGAAGGAATTTAACATGACCAATTTCCTGATCTTATTTTTTTCTATAGACTAGAAGCAACTCACGAGGGTTTTGGTTAGAGCAAAAAACACTTCCCTGTTGATTCTCTTAGACCACTACACAGAGTTGCAAGACATACATAAGTTATTAAAAGTTCCAAAAATAATTTTGTGCCACATCTGTCATCATCTATCACTATCTACGATGAAACCAATTGTTTAACAAAATGCACCTAATTAATCGGTATTCCACTACTAATCACAGTGAGAAATGTCTCCAACTTTACTTGCATAAATATTAACATGAGATCAATAAGTTAATGAATTTACCAAAGGTTAATTGGAATACAAGATGGCTATACTGGCTAGTAATAAAACAACACATACTATGTGAAGCGTATTCATATTGATCAATAACGCAAACCTTAAAGGAGATTATTATATAACTCTTATTGTAAAAGGAAATACATCTAGAGCTAAGTGAACATAACTAATTTGTTTTCACATGGGAAATTTATCAAAGCGCTATAAAAAAAGGTATTTTAAGTATAGCATGCATGCCCCAAATATTTAAGCAATGTTATCCATGCATGTATCGTAAGAAATCAAACCAACAATGAAACACAAACTCTAATGGCATATCATGAAAAAAAAAAAAATAAGACATCCATATGCAAGTCAAGTCTTAGGTAGGAACCATTATTTATTAGTTAGTCTTAGATGAAGGGAGGGTATTATGCCCATATTCACAAAAGCTTAAATTTGACTCATTCACAACCCCCTATCCTCTAACAACCATTAAAACTGAATATGCCATCTGTTACTCTTTCATAGGTTTAGTTAGAATTGTTGGTTATGTAATGAGTTAGTTAGATTTGTGATGAGGTGTACTGCCACATTAGCTTAGGTTGTTACCATTAGCTATACATATATACCCCTTGTAATGATTCATTTCTCAATCAATGAAACAGTTTTGATTCTCTTTCTTTCTCTCTTACTTCGCATTCTCTCTCTAAAATCCTCTTTAATCAATTTCTTAGTTGTTCATCAATGGCAGTATATCAGTACTGTTAGAATGGTATCGAGAGCCACCGATTCTCTGTGGGTTTCCTACTACTAGTGAAATTGTGAAGCGAATTTTCTTTTGGGGAAGTTTCTGGTTAAAGATTTCATCGAGGTTTTTCATCTGGGTTGTTTCTTCAACATGTTCGTTGCGATTTGTGTTGCTCTCTCTTCTGTTTCTGTTACTCTGATGGTAATGGTGATGTATGTTGATAAAGTTGAATCATGGGAAATTTTAGGTTCTATGTTCAAAATCCTACAACACATCATTTTGGATTCTTGATTTATTGAGCAAATTATGTGCTAAAGATCTGGGTTTCTTTAATTGTTGTTGAGATTACATATATGTTAATGTGCTAAGTAGACTAGTAGTATTAAATACTTTGAAGGCCAATTGCCAAATTTGTGAATCTTGGTTAAAGTTGAAAAAGGTTGATTGCCAGTGATTGATTAAAGATGAAAAAGGCCAATTGTCATGTCTGTGTTAGTGATTGAAGAAAGGTATTTGTTGTTGATAAAGGCCAAGGCCAGAAGTTGAAGTTTATTGAGTTTCTTTGCTGTGTAGAAAATCTTGCAGTGAAATCTTGTTTGTGTGATTACAAATCTTGAACATTTTCTGAGTTTTTGAATAGTTTGAAGTGATAAAATGACATCTACAACTGTGAAAATTAATGGGTTATTAGGAATGTTAACAATCAAACTTGGTGATCAAAATTACACCAAATGGGCATTTCAGTTTAAGTCTATACTTAAAGGTTACAAACGGTTTGATCATTTTGATGGAACTAATGTCTGTCCACCAAGATTTGTTCTGAATTCTAAAACTAGAGTAACCAAGGAAATGACTATATCATTTCAAGAATGGGAAGCAACAGATCTTGCCCTTCTCAGTTTACTCATTACTACCCTAACTGATGATGTAATAGAGTATGTCATAGGATGTAAGACTGCTAACGAAGCCTGGATAAATCTTGAAGAGAGGTATGCTTCAGTATCTGAAACTGGAGTTAATCATTTGAAAACTGAACTTCATATAATACAGAAAGGTGGTGATGCAACGAGCAAATACCTGTTAAGGCTAAAATCCTTGAGAGATTAATTAACTGCAGCTGGTGAATTCATTTCTGACAATGATGTAAACATTGCAGCTTTAGCTGGATTGCCTCGAGAGTATGCCACTATTACAACTGTCATTCTTGCTAGGGACAACTCCATCTCTATGAAAGAATTCAGAGCATTATTATTAGGTGTTGAAAGAGAAAATAAAGTGTTGATTAATTCTTTGTCTCAAAGTATGTTTGCATTATATATGCAAGGTGCTGCAAGTTCTTCTATGGGATTTTAGAATCAAAATGGTGTTTCAAGCTCGTATTCTGTTGGAGTTGATTCTTTTACTAGAGGAAGGATTACAAGTGTGCCTCTTATGTCTAATGGTTCAAATCAAAATATTGATTTCTCACAGTCACAATCTTCATCACATGATTGTTATCCAATGGCACCTGCTAATAACTTTAGTTCTGGTTTTGTGGGAAATATGAACCCTTCTTCAGATAACTTCTTTAACATATGTGTTCTACAAACTATAATGATGGTCAGCAGAGATATTATAATGGAGGTCAACAAAGAGGTAATGGTTCTTACAAGTCCAATTATAGAGGAAGAAACTCAAACAATTATAGATAGAATAATGGTTGGTCTGGTAATATTGAGTCTAGATGTGCTCCACAACCTGAGTGCCAAATATGTCAGCAAAGTGGACACACAACACCAAATGGCTATCACATAAATGCTAATGGATCTTCATCTAGACATATTACTGAATGTCAAATATGTGGAAAAATAAGGCATATTGCTCTTGATTGCTATCATAGGGGCAATTATTCTTATCAAGCTCCAACACCTCCTGCATCCTTGGCTTCTACACCTGCTCCATTCAATGCTCACTATTCTTATCAAGTACCTCCACAAATGTACTAGATGCCAATGAATGTACCTGAAAATCAATATTAACATCCAATGACTGCATTGAATGCTCAA